TGTTTAAAGGATGCCATTTTCAGTAAAGTGAAGGATAAAGATTACGCAATTAGAGCTTGTACGTGGGATGGTCCGGGATTTGGTAAAGATGTCAAGATTTACGGTCAACCAGAGAAAGAATATCAACATATTTTTTGTAAAAAGCGTTATTATGAAAGAGAGATAAGGGATACTGAAGATGAAGTTACTATTGAAGATTATGAAGTTTTTCAAATTAAAAAGATAAAATAAGGAAGTATATTATAATTTTTTACAATTAAAATCAGAAAGAATTTTGGTTAATAAATAGTTTCTTAAAATCAAAATGCGACGTTATTAGTTACTGTAATTATAAGTTAATTCTAACACGACTAACTTAATATTATATCCCAATCCTCTATTAACGAACCATCAAGACCTTTCCTGGAAAACTCTCGGGTTTCGACGGAGTCACATTGAAACTATTAATTATTGGCAAAACCGTCGAAACTCAATAACATAATAAAATCTTGTCAAAATTCAATATTAAAATCTTATTAACAAATCCGTCGAAATAGGGTTTCTACTTTTGCCATCTGCTATAATGAGTTTTGCCAGGCAAATAGATGATAAAATTGAATTTTTGCGAAAAATACGAAATTAGATAATATGAAATATTCAAAGTTTATTGATTATAAAAAATTAATTATAATTTAAAGAATCATAATAAAGACATTAGTATTTTTGATTAAGAAATAAACCCATTGATATTTCTTAATTTTCATATTTAAGTATTTGTTTATTGAATAAAGAATGATAACTAGAATATGGTGTTTTACTTATAAGTTATTTGAAATACTTCATAATCACTCACATTAAAATTTGAAGGTATACCAACGTTAGGATAACTGCCAACAGTATTTCTCCAACAACCATCAAGTTGTAGTCTTAAATCATTACTGAATGAGAGTCCATAAGTTGCAAAACAACCTATAGAAAATTCACCATCGCTATAACCTACTTTCGCGGTTTGAAGGTTTGTTCCATTTTCAAATGAAAATATAAAACTATCTTTAGTACCTTTCCAATTTCCACTTGAATCCCATCCAAGTGGGTTATATCCTCCCACCAATTGCTCTGAACCTTGAATTTTTATTATAACAACGGTAGCCCCTTTGTTATCGCATTTTTGATGAAATGCTGCCGGTGTCATGCCATCCTCACTAGCACGAAAAATCAAATTAAACGTATAAGGCATGTTCTTTACATTATAATACGATAGGTTTTTCTTATGAATCCAACTCGAAAATATGGCAAAATGTTGAGAATTAACAATTTTTGAATTATATACACATTTTTTCTGTCTAGGTGTTTGGGTATTAATATTTAATTTCCTATCTGGTGCCAAATAAAATGCCAAGAGTTTATTAACCAAATCTTTTGGTAATAATTTTTTAAAAGGAAGTACTTTATCAAGGAATTCCTCTGAAGACATACAATAAAATCTAACCAGAGGAATATGTCTATGAAGAGTTCTTTCCATCATAATTCTCTCTTCCTTGTTCCATTTAGTGACATCTTTAGGAATTGAAGGATTCTGAGCAAAACCCCACTTCATTAAGCTATCCCAAATATCAATTTCTTCTAAACCTATATCATCCCGTTTCAAAAGTAATTCTAATAAAGGTGCTTTTATACTGATGAATTTATCAGAATCAAATAACATTTTGGGGTCTTCACAAATTTTTTCGAGATAAAAATCCCATAACTTAGTAAAGGACTCGTGTTGATAAATTATTTCAAGTATCTCAATAGGATTCAGTTGTAAAAACTCA